CAGAGGAAATATATATCTTAAATTAATATTTCAATTTCAATATTATTTCATTTTCTGACTGCACTTTCTATAAAATAAAATTATTCTAATAAACAACAAGGAGTTTTTATTAATTTTTGGTCTAATTTACTTATATATCTTTTTTTGTTTATTAAAGGAATTAAAATAAAAATTATATTATTACTGTTAATCTAAGTTGTGATTATATGTATCTAAATAGATAGGTATTAATATAATCATATACACATACGCATACACATACACAAGTTGTACATACTCACATAAACCTTTTTTTTTCAGAGAAAAGAGAAGAATTATGATAATACCTGAACTACATGGAAACGATATTAAGACTAGATTTAGATCAAAATCAACAAAAGAATTATCTTCAATTCTGAAAAAGACTTCATCTGATTTAAATAGTAAAAGTAAGAATGGTATTAGAATTAGAAGTAATAGTACACAAAGTTTAGGTAGTAAAAAAAATGTTAGATTTTCAACAAATTTAATCGCCGTTAAAAAATTCGATAAATTTGCTGAACCTATTACAATTTCTAATGAAACTTCACCTGATTTATCACCTTTATTAATTCCTTTAGATAGTCATAATAATAATATTGATGAAGATGATTCTTGTTGGTTTCATGATTTAACTTTAGTCCCAAGACTAATTGATATTGAAAATAATTTTAATGAATTTCATTTTAATAATAAGAAAAAAATTAAAAATACAAAATTATTTTCTTTAGATGATGAGGATTATGATTATGATGAAGATTTAAATTATTATTTTAATGAAGCTGGTACTTTAAGAAATTTTAATAATAAAATTTCGAATAATTTAAATTCAAATTCAAATTCAAATCCAACATCTCCAACAAAATTATTAAATAATTGTGACTATAATGATCCTTTATTACAATTCCAATCAAACAAAAATTTAAAATGGGAATTACTATCAACAAATATTATTAATAGTAATTTAATCTTAACAAATGATTTTATTAAACACTTTATGCATAATCAAAATATTAAAATTCAATCATTAAAAATTAACAACGATAATAAATTAGCTGGTTATTTACTTGTTAATAATTTGGCATTTGAAAAATATATTGAAATTAAATTTACTTTTAATAATTGGCAAAATATTCATTATGTTAACGCTTCATTTAATAAAACAATTTCGAAAAATTTTGATCAATTTAAATTTATTATTGATATTAATTCATTCAAGTTTTTTTTAAATTTAAAAAATTTATTAATTTCTGATAATTTAAATATCGAACTTTGTTGTAGATATGATGTTAAACATGAAACTTATTATGATAATAATAATTATAACAATTATAAAGTTGTACTAAGAAAACCAATGAAACAACAACAACAATCAAATAAAGAAAATCTTTTCAATTTATCATTATCAAAAGATATTACAGCATCTGCATCAAAAGCTGATTCATTGAAAAGAGAAAATAATATCAATCAATCAACAAGACATCATACAAGAACATTTAGTGCAGATACAGATTTTTTTAACACTTCACCATTGAAAAATATTTATAATAATAGTAGTATTAAAAAAAATCATATCTTTAATAAACATATTCAAACAACAACTGATAAGAATATTTTACCATCAACACAAAAAATTACAACAAGCTCAAGTACACCACATTTAAACGAAAAAAATGTTTTATCCTTTAATTCAGATCTTTCATCAATTTCTTCAAGTTCTATATCATCAGCGGCTTCTTCTGCTTCAACAGATTCATCATCTTTATATTCTTTCCAAACTGAAAATGTAACAACTCCAATTATTAAACCTTTACCAACAAATGTTTTACAATTACACAATAAAAATAATACAGATAATCAAAAGCTACCAATAAGGAGAAGAGAAAGTGTTCCACCTGCTATATCTCCATTAGAAAAGACATCTATACATGATAGCCTTCTTAATGTCGCTGTAACACCAGGAATAGACTGTATCAATAGTTATCTTTCTCCATCATTAGCAGATATTAAGGATCAATTATATTTTTCACCATCAAAAAATATACACGAGACAAAAAATATTTTTAATGATAATAATACTATAACAAGTTATCCAGAGAGTGTAGCCACGGATACTACGCTAATTAAAAAACTCCCAAGAAGAAATAAAGAAGGATCGACAATAGATGTAACAGATATCAGTTCAGATAATAATAATAATAATAATATTTTAAAAAAAGCTAAAACATTTTCTAAAAGTACACCATCTTTAGATTCAGATTATAAATCATTACTAGATTCATGTTGTTTTTATACACCACCAGCATTAAGTTCCAATGAAGCCTCACCAAATAAATTTTCATTCATGTCATCAATAACAGACTAAAACAAATACATTACTTATGCTGCATTGACGCATTTCTTAAGATATTCCATTTACAAACATTACTATTTTTTTTATTAATTTCCTTGAAAATTACAGTTTTTATTTCTTTCATTTCACATTATTTCATTTTAAATTCCACATTAATTATTAACTGTTTAAAATTAACTATTAAACACATACAAGACTTCACTCCCCCCACACATTATAAAGTACAGGTTACACCACTTCGCATCATGTTAATCATATTTTTTTTTTTGTATTTTATTCATTTTTTACTTATATTTTGTATTCTCCTTATTTCAATTATTTTATAGTGTATATATAACTTTTGCACACGTAATTATTAAATCAAAACATTAGCTTCATCAAAATTACAAACACAACAAAAGAAATTTAAGTTTAGGAAATAATAAAATTACTAGGACTAAACAAGTTATCTTGATTACATTAACTTCTCCTTTTCAAGAAACAATTTCAATTGTGTATTTCTTCTAAGAAAAACAACACTGTGCTTTTTTGTCACTAGGTAATAAAATATTATTCCGTGAACAACATTCTTATTGGCTTAAATGAGGGTTGTTAAGGTTGTTTTAAAAGAATGTTGACTATATTAATGGATACGTTACAAAATGACACAAAGTACCTAAGTTTGACACATTTAAATAATATTTGACGAAAAAAAATTTGAAAAAATAAATGCGCAAGCCCGGAATCGAACCGGGGGCCCAACGATGGCAACGTTGGATTTTACCACTAAACCACTTGCGCTTCTAATTTATATTTTGTTGAATTTAGAAATGATTAAAGGTAAATGACATTTAATCACGTGACAACTAGTTGAGGTCTCGCCTAATATCCTAATTGGGAATGAAACATGTTACAATCTGAAACATGTCACAATCTGAAACAAAGCCGTACGCCATGAAACAAGTTACAAGAA